CAATTCTGGGATTTGGAAATGTGGAGCCAATGAAGTTTAACATTTATATATAAACTACACGTTGCTGTGTCAAATTTAGTGCCATCCAAAAGTCTTGGACACCTCGTTTCTTTATATTTTGCTTCCAAGGAGACAGAGTCTGGTCTTGAAGAAGGTTTCTAAAGGTACATACGACCGGTGTTAGTGTAGTTCCAAAATAAGGAGTTACAATTCAACTCAGTTTTATTTACATAGCTGCAGGTACAGACTAACAATGCTAGTGAACAAACCCCAACACAACACCTTCCTCCTTCAAGCGCTGCTCTTTCACTTTGTTTGCTAAAACTGCTCAATTTAAAATGCTGATGTGCTGCCTCACTAAGACTCCCGAAATTCCAAATATGAAGCTGGCATCAACGGAGTTGCTGGTAATGTTTTTTGCCAGCATGCTGCTCAACCATCAAAACTCAAAAAGTGGGCCTATTTTAAGTAGAGTGTAAAATGACTTAGTAATTAGGTTACACAATCAAATTCATATGGAAATGAAAACTGCATAAAAATTGAAGACTTTGCCTCACAAGATAGAAACGTGACTTCAACATAGTGAAAATATTATAATATTTGGCATCCAGTAGAGCAGCGGTAACTTTGCTGTGACCCACTACCAAGTAAATGTAAGGCTGGTGTTGACCAATACTTCTAGTTAGGATAGGGATTTGTGTGTGTGTGTGTGTGTGTTCTTGTCTAACTATCTTTGTGAGGACCGAAATCTGCATTCTACTATACTTGTGAGGACCAACCGTCACTTGTGAGGACACACAACCCGGTCCTCACAAATTTGAAGGCATTTAAAGGCAATTTTGAGGCTCAAAATGTGGTTTTAGTGTCAGGGTTACAATTAGGTTATGGTTAGGTTTAGGGTCAGGGTCAGGGTTAGGCATTCATTTTTAATGGTTAGGGTAAGGGGCTAGGGAAAGCATTATGTCAGTGAAGGTCCTCACTAAGATAGCTGAACGGGGTTGTGTGTGTGTGAGACTGTAGGTTCATATTGTTACAGGAAGGTGTTTCGGGTTTCAGGCCATGGAGTAACGCAGAAGAAAAGTAACGAGTAGGGAGTAATTAGGTAAAGTAACGTCTTGATGCACGCTCAGTCATCCAGGTAAATCCCCCAAAAGTTGATTCTGTTCATCTGGACGCAGCGTTTTCAGTGGTGCTGGTTTCAGTCTTTATGCAAATGTCCTGTTTATAAGGTTGAAACCTGCAGTCAGCTGAGACTGAAGACGTCACCTGGATGATGATGAAATGTTTTTCCCACTGAAACGCCCAGATGTGCAGCATCAACCTTTGCAGTTGAGTAAAGTAACGCATTACTTTAACAAGTAACAAGTGACGTCTAATACTTTTGCTTTTTTGAGGAACAATCTGCAAATATTCAAACAGAGAGTTTAGACGCTTCCTTTAAAACACTGAGTAAATGCTGGAGCCTGCACTGAAACAAGCCTCATGTATGACCTGTATGTCCCCACCTCTGCACTGATGGCCACAAAACTCTGCTTATGTAATTCACCTTTTCAACACAAGGTGGCATCAGTGCACACTGATGGACTGCAAGGTGAAACAAAGGGAGCAACAAAGGGCTCATCTACAGCAGATAGTACACACTGTGCCTGTCGTCTCACGAGCAGAGAACCAGTTTGCCGAGGTCAACTTCCTCTCACCGATGCACCAATGCGATTTGCTTCAACACTGACACTCACGCATCCTGTCAAACCTGAAGAGCAGCATTACGTGCCAGACGTTCCTTGATTGACATTTATATCCTTTGTGAGCTTAAACACATGACAGAAACTAAGCAGGCTGATCGTCCTCGATCGTCAGCCTGCACTTAAGAGTTGTCTGTGTCGTAACAGGAGGCACACCTGTGTTTGTACCTGAACCCACAGCAAACAGGAATCTGACGCCTCGGTGCTATAGCTCAGTGTTACTGCAAACAAAGCCAGTCTCTGGGAAACAAGATCATATTTCATAAGAATAATAAAGCGAACCACACATCCCCCATCACCTGATCATACAAGCTCCACATCGTCTTAATCTCATGTAGCACCACACACCGGCTCTGGCTAACACGCCAAAAAACAGGAAGGTTCAGTATTTTCTCCCCGCTGACAACACTTCTAATCACCTCCAAACAAACTTGGCTCGGTCGCTCCTAAAAATATTTTCCTGTTTGTAAAAAAGGAAAGGCTTCCCACTCTCAGTGGTAATGCTCCCCTAGATTTTCCACTCTGCTTAGAAAAAAGAAGAGAAAGCCTATAAACACGAGTCTACCAGTGAAGCTGTCTGTTCAGGATTAACTTAATGCTCAGCCTGTTCAAAAAGGAGTTCATTCGTTTGTCACTGTGAGTCGTTTCATGGTAACACAGCTGCTTGGTGGGGTAATATTACAAATCTGGAAAGCCTGAGATGAAAAGAGGAAGAGCTGCTCTCATATATATACATGCTGATGTGGAGGAGAGTGCACACAGCCCTCACTGAACCCGAGGAAATGACCATAACTCTTCAGACATATGTGATCTTACACACAATCAGTGGAGCTTCTGTTTATAGGAGGAG